TAAGCTGACATCCATTAAATTAGTTTAAAGGCTGATTTTAGAGTGGTCAGCAACACAGTATAGCTATTTCCTTAGAAAATTGGGTTGGTTGATATTGTTTGTATTCATGGAGATGAAATATGACTTAAATAAATGCATGACTTTTGTTTCCTTTCAGAATATATCTATTGCTTACATCGGAATGTTGATTGGTGGTGATTACATATTCTCCATGTTAAACTTTGTAGGGCTAAATATTTGGTAAGTGAAACTTGAATAACCTTTATTTATTAAAGCTGAAAATTTCTCAGTGAGTTCTAGTTTTATATTTCGTTTGATTGCACTCATTCGGGTGTTGTAGTTTTGAAACTACTGGCTTGACAAAGCACTGCCGCAGGATGTAGAAGTCATTACAGTTAGTTATGTCTTTTCATGTCTGTTTTCAGACATTAAATATTGTTGTGGTAAGGCCTAATTGTGGAAATATGCCTGCAGTTTTACTCTGTGGAATTTTTAATTTTTTATGAGCAGCAGTTCTGAACTGTGAGGCTTCCAAACACAGATGTGATGTTTTAAGTGAGAACATTGACTGAATGAGTTGTGCCTATTGAATATAAGTTCTAACTTGTGAGTGGTTACTTTCTATGCTTAGATGATCACCTGTGTGTATGAATATGTGTGAGCAACTGGTAATTGATCTTTGTCTGCTTGGAGCTACTTTCTCAGATGGGTTACCTAGCTCTTAGGCACTCCTAGTTTATGATAGCTGGTGTTCTTTAGCTCTTCAGAAGGAAAGGTACGTACCTATGAAATGAGATCTGTAACATCAGACATCTTTGACACCACTGTTCATTCTCTTTTGTTTAGTATGGCAGGAGGACTGAGATACTCATTTTTAACATTAAGAGGAAACAGCAAGCCTGCACAACCTGGGGATGAAGAGAATGCACTTCCAGTGTCAAAGACTTAGACAAAATGCCTGCCTTGAAAGAGACTGAAGATACAAGTTTGTTTAGCATTGCCAAGACTTTAAATCAGTATATCCTGGAACATATGTGGAACAACAAAAAAAAAATCTACCTCAGTTGTCACAGACATGCACACAATTCACTGGCTCAGAAATATTTTTGCACATCAATTTTTTTACATGCAAACTAGTTTGATTTTAGCTTTTCCTTCTTAATCTGAAAGCCATCTTATAGGAAGGAATGCTATGAGCAAATCTTAAGTTGTAAACTTCTGCATTTACCTGTACTTGGGTGCTATTTCAACAAGATCTTTGAGTTTTGTTTCAGTGACTGCCTGTAGTTTCTTGAGGCGAAATTCCCTGTAAAGATCATGAGGCTTAATTTACCATTGCCTTATGCCATGTGCAAACCTAGATATCAGTGAGGAGATGAAATATCCTAGTGGTTCAGATTGATTTCATGCATGCATGTGCTCTTGGGTAAGTGATATAGAACGCATGGGGCAGGCAAAGAGGGTATTTGCCCCCAGATTGTTCCCTGTGTAAGTGTCAGTGAAAAATTCAGGCTATGTCTGTGTGTGTACTGTTGTGTCGGCATTCTCTCTCTGTGTTTTTCTCATCCTCAATCACACTATGGTGTTCTGCAGAAATTGTCACTGTTGTTGTAAATGAACATCATAACTTTGGAGCAGATCAAGGAGAGAAGGGAAATGACAGGGGATTTTTTAATATTTGAAGATTTTTGTGTGTGTGTGTATGTGTGTCTGTGTATGTGTGTCTGTGAGCCAGTACCAGCAAATCTATTTTTGTTAAGGTACATTTTTCTTTTTATATCACATTCCCCTCCTCTCACCTTTTATCTGTAACCACCTAGCTGCAGAGAAGTGGTGCTGCTATGTACAAACATAGTAGGGGAGGGAAACATAGATATGTGGAAGACTGATTTGTGTTTAAATAAGGAGAAATGGCTAGTGTCCTGTTGTGTCTTCTATATACAGTAAAAGCTTATCTGGTACTAGTTTATGCTTTTGGTTCTAAGCAAGGAATCATAATGGGCCTGGGGATGACTACAGTAGGCTCAGCTGGTACAGTGATTGAGGCTCAGATGGTCTAAGGGATCATCTGGGACAATTACACGCATATCTATATTTCAATAACACCTGCATCTGTATTTCCTTCATTGAAAATATTTGATAATGCTTACCTGTTTCTCTGAGGATAGACTTTTAACCTTTGAAGATGTGATAGGCGCATTAAAGTGTTGGAAGACAGCAGAGAAATTAATCTTGTTGAAGTTCTCAATTCCCTGCGAGCATGAGCCACAATTTTTGAAAATAATCAAATCAAAAGAAGGTTTTGAAATACTTTGACATGGAACCAGGGTGGTCTGTTGACTTGTTTGATCACGTCAATTAAAATACAGCTTATCTGAAAACACAGAAAATCAGAAAACATTACTCTGTGTGTAGCACATCAATGACCAGTCTGATTTAGACCTAAGAAACATGTGAGTAACTCACACCAGAAGCTTCAGGGAGTGACCGCCTGCATGGATTTGAATGGCAAGAGGAGCAGTGACTGCAGATACTAGAAGGGGCATCTAAAGACACGGTTAAAGTGGGAAGAGAGATCTGAGCTATCAATTTTCTCACAGCTGGCGAAGAATGTGACTTTCATTTTCTGTCTGCTGAAGACCTGTGGAGGGAAAGCATTGCTGCAAATATTTTTCCATGATCTCTGTTTATAAAAATTTCCTTTATGCTTAAAAACCTTCAATGTTTTTGAGTGTATTCTTTTTTAAGAATCCTATTTCTTGAGAACACCTCTACCTCCACAATTTCAATTACTGAACCTTAACTCTCTTCCATAAGACAAGGTATTGGAAAGTTTTCATTTATTATGAAATTAGTATGAGTGCCATTTGATTGCAATACTGATGAAAACACAAGGCACCTGCTAAATAAAATGTAGTTCCCCCAAAGGAACACTTAACATTTGCATATAATTCATTAATATTTTGCTCTACCTTGTATAAATAAAATTATACAGATTACAGTTTTAACAAGTGTTTTGTTTGGATTACTTTTTTTTTTAATTTTTTTTTTTTTTTTTTTTTATTTTTTTTTTTTTTTTTTTTTTTTTTTTGTGGATGGACACATTAAATTGTCCCAAGCACATGAACAACACTAGTATTTGCTTTTTATATTAACTCCTTTAGTATACTTCAAGTAGATTCTTTAGCTCATTCTGTACCATAGTGAAGTGATTTATTTAATTTCTTGTTCACAGAATGTTTTTGAAGTCCTTCAGACTTAGATTTCTCACCTGAAATACAGACCTGGTAATCATAGTCTTTATGACAGTGTTACTCAGAATAATTTAAAAAATAAATCTAGGAATAACAAAAATAGGTACTGTATGAAATACTTGCAATTGCTTACATACTTTCACAATGAAACTCAGCTTCAGTCCCTTTCTGTTTTCTTCTATATCTGAGATACTGTTTATTTCTGTACATTTGCTGATTAAAATTCTGTCAATATGGGCTTGACCATATTAGAATTTGGGAAATTGCATGGCTGTTTCATCCAGAATGTCAATAATTGTGTCTTTCAGTTAATAAGATGGAAAATTAAAACTTATTTTTTAGGATACAGCTGCTTACTTTTCTACAGATTTCATATTAATGAACTTAAGGTTTTAAATATGACATTCATAGCATTACAGGTGTCAGGGTATATTTACAAGGAAGCATAAAAAGAAAAATCATTGCTGGACTAGAAAAAAAAAATATTGTCCTGTGCATTGATTTGTTCATGCTCTAAATTTTGTGGGGATTTTTTAGCAGTGACTTTGCTGTAATTAAGTGAGAAAATGTGGTCACCCAAGGGACTTTCTACCCATTCACTGTGTAAATTTCTTGCAGTGATTCCTGTGGAAGTCAGAGAGGCAAAGAAACACTTACCTCAAAAAAAACCCAAAAAAACAAAAAAAACCATTTAGACTGAAGAATTCTTCACATTCTTAAGGATTTATTAATTTTCTTCTCACTATCTTGGCCTAATGAATTATGTTGGGCCCATGATGCTCTGTAAACCTGAGACTTATTACCAACCACAGAAAATGGAAACAGAACATGGAAGTGCAGAATAGAAGACTGACAGCTGTGAAAGATTGTGTTTTGATTCCATCATCAAATAAATGGGATTCTTTTAAATTTTGGGGCATTAATTTAAAATAGGTATTCAGCATTATTTTTTACATGTAGAAAACAGTGATACCTCTTCAAACTTAAATTATTCCTTGAACAGAGTGATTTTTTTGGGTTATTCGTGATTGATTGTAAATACTTCTGTAAATATTCAAACCTTTTTTAGTTGTTTGGCCTGGCTTACTTATGAGGTGAACACTGAGAGGAAAATTAAGACAGCTTTAGTGTGAGGAAGCTGGGTTGTCGTTAAGCTAAGGCAGTAATGATTTTTATCTTCTTGTTACAGATAATCTAGTGCTACCTTCCATGTGATTCAGACATTCTCTTGTAAAGCATCTGCACAAGTGTAGGTTTCTGTCTGAAGGTGTCAGTAATGTAACATGATAAATCTTTTTTCTGGTTTCAGTGTGAATTTGTCCTAGAAATGTCTGGGCCACAATTTAACTCCTCACTGTAAGAAGTAGTGTTGATCTCTGTTTGGGGTATTCTTTTTTGAAGGTTTGGTTTAGATCCATCTCCAGTCTCTATGAATGGTAAACAATGATGATAAAATTAGTTTTTTGGGTTTGTATACTTTCCAGAAAAGGAGCGAAACCTTTCCCCTGAGGCCAACATCAGAAATCATTGTTTAGTTTTTTTTTAGTCAATAGTTTACAAATGTGGGTGTAATGTAGTGATGTTATCCTAATCTAAATCCTGGACTTTTCCTGGAAAATGAAATCATGTGACTTGATTCATCCTCTCACTTCTCTGCCAAGGCTCAGAGATGAACAGTGTGCTGGAAAGAAACATTTTCCATGCAGAGAGTGTCTGATTCATACAAGCTCACTACCTTCTCTCACCATGGAAGTGTTCCAGTATCAGCTACTCAGTCATGTTGGAGGTCTGATCTGTTTCTGTACTCTGATAAAATGCATCAGATTTATGAGAGACCTTTTTCCATATATCTGAAGTTCTTTGCCTTAGGTTTTCTTTTGGTCAATGGGAGAACGTGCAGGTAGAGGAAACTGCTTCACTTTCTGCTTGTAATTGGGTGGTGGATCATTACATAACTAACCAAGAATGGTTTTCCTTGCATTTCTTTACCCTGTTCCTTCAGAATGAAACACAGTTTCTGATATGTATGGTTTGCTTGGTTCCTTTTTCTTTTCTCATAAAGTTTTGGGTTTATGAACCTGTACTTGGGGAGAATAGAAAACTGGTCAGACTGGTAACAGGGTGTGTAGATGTGAATTCTCTCCCTGTTGTTTCTTCTGCTGTTTTCTCTCTGCTGCAAATGCTTTTATTTTGGTAGTATTGCCCAGATCCTCAGTTTTCTGGTATGTGAAGCTGCTAGTTTATGTCTAGCATATGTTCTCCAGTTTTCAAAGCAACTTTTCTTGTTCCTGCCAATGTTGCTCCATTGTATTCTTTTCCAAGTTGCTCACCTATCCTTAATGATACCATTAATGAACTAATTTTACTTCAGTCTAAATCTTCAAAGGCTGAAGGTTGGCAGTGTTTATTAAGATAGTATGCATTCTTGTAGAATAACACAGAGCTTAACAAGAACCTGCTTCTTCCTATTGATCATTCATGTGTTTCTTAAGCTTGTTAGATGATCGGTGTAAAGCAGGGATGAACAGGTGTTACTGATGTTGCTGATGGTAGCTTGTTGTTAAGAAGTTACCTGAACAGTAGACTTGTGTTTGATTCCTTTTTCCTGCATTAAACTTGATAGGAGTAAATATATAAAATTATTACATATATAAAATACATCAATTAAATATATAATTAACTATCAAATATATGTTTAACTGCCACATCTCCTAGTGGATTAATAAAATAAATCCATTCCTATAGAAGACCTGCCTGAATACCACACACTTCTGAGACATTGCATAGGTCTCATTTTGATTTAAGTGAGGCAAAGACCTCCCTTCTGTGTATGAGATGAGGAACAGCATGTGGAACTTCCTGTGTAAAATCTTTCTTTTCACTTAAGGTTGGAAGACTTGTTTCTTTCAATTGACCTTATTGCTGTGTTTTTATAAACAAAGTCTTCTGGCCCCAGTAAAATTCTTAAGGCTCAGATAATTTGTGTTGTCATGTGGTACGTGAGATTCTGAAAATCATGAAAATTAAAGTTGGCATGTGGAAGCTTGTTTCTCAATAGACTCTTCACTTTTCATCTACAGGTCTGTTAGGAAACTTAATACCTACAGCTTCTTCACTGGGATTTCATTTCCCTGTGAAATGAGAGAGTAATTGTTCTTCTGTTGGCAACACCTAACCAGTCAAACCACTTTGTTTTCTGTGTCTCTGTCAGAAGTCCTTAATCCACAATTTTTTATATTGACTAGTTTTTCATTTGCTCTAGAACTTACCAGGTTTACCTTGGAACTGCTTTGGTGCTTTGCTACATTACTTCTTCTGTGTTTCTAAGGTGTTAAGAATTTTTATTTTTATAGTTCCTCTTTGGTATTTATATGCAGAGTTTAAAAGTTCAGGATACTTTATAAATGCCAGGATATGTTTATTTTCACAGTAAGACTAAATCTGAAAGTAAACTGTGCAGTACGGCTCTGAAAGAAGAGCATTTTATAGGTGGTGGCAAGTTTGATGTGAGCTTTCCTTACAGACAGAAATCTTGTGTGAGAAATTGTTGTATCAGTTTCAGGTAGTCTTTATCTCCTACCATTCTGCCACCAGTATATAAATTCAAATCTTGCAAAACAGAACTTGTGAAAATACATACATGGAAGAAAATTCTGCCAGCTCTTCAGCAATTGACTTGTTGCTTGTGGACACCACTGAAACACTCCTGTACCACGTGGACTACCTTGGGAAGAGATTTGCTTTAAAGACAGAAAGTGCTGAATGAACTAAGAGATGCATAGGTCACAAAGAAAAAAAAATAGAAGACTGGTTATATTCTTCAGTGGATACATTTAGGTTGTATCATTCAGGAAATGCAGATGATGAAGGTGAAACAATTCAGAGAGAAGAAGCTAAACCAGAGATCCAAATGTAATCCATATCCCTTTTGCTTTCTCCAGTGGTCACAGGAGCAGGAGATGGGTTTGGAAAAGCATATTCCTTCAGGTAAATACCACAATAGATTAGATCTACCTTTCATTTTACCTTAACAAAATGACAATTGCTATCCCTCCATCAGTGTCTTCAAATTAGTAAAATTATTCTGGAATTCAAAGCTACTGCAACAAATATGATCCTAATCTTTCTGTCCTGTATAACCACATAGCTTTAATCAGATTCTGAAAGGAAACCTGTGGTGCATTTCAGAGGAAAGTCATTCCGGCCTCAGTGGTCTCATCAAACCAGGGAAATAAAATGAGTAATTCAAAAGAGGCCCTATTGTCTGTCCAGAGAATGAAGTCTCCTAAATTGTCCCTTTTCTCCCAGTTTCACAGCTAATCTGCAATGGGCTGGTTCAGTATTAACAAACAAAATGTAGTTTTGTAGCATTTACACTTGCAAACACATATTGAAAGTTTTATCTGAAATAACGAATAAGGGAGAAACTTGTATAAATTAATATAACCTGCCAGTTGTGGAAAGCATAAGGAATCCTAATGGTTTAATTCAGAATCAGGAGCTCTAGGAGGCAGCAAGAGGAAGAGGATCTCTGTGCTGTCCCTGTAGCTGCTGCTGTGCAGAGTCACTGTAGCAGTACCTTCCATTAACCCATGGTATTCAGCGCTGAGGGCAGGCTGGCATTGTATTGTGTTGTACCAGCCTTGCTGTTATTGATTGTGACTGAGCAGTACATTTTCTCCTTGGTGTCTTCTTTCTAAAGTGCCTCCCTTTCTAGAAACTAAACAGCAATGAATCAAGTGTTGATGTCTTCAGGGCTGAGGTGACTAAGTGACAAAGAACATCCTGTAATGTGCAAGAGTTTAGATGTGATGCCTTCTGCTCATAGATTATAAGATATATTTCACAGGAAAAGAAAAAAAATTCTTAAATTGATTTGCAAGATTTTTGCACTAGTCTTTTCATTATGCATTGTTTGAATACCTAGATACCTTATGACTACCTTATGCTGAGAATTGCAATACAATAACTTTTGAAACTTTTGAAAGAACACTGAATGTAGAACCCTCAAAGACAAATACCAGCTATTAGAGTTTAACATTTGGTGTAGTTGTGAAAAAACCCCATGGGAGAGAAGGGAAAATGCTGTCTCCTGTCTACTCACTGAGTAGCAGTATTAATAAGTAAATGGGAAGGGTCTGATGAATACATAGGTCAGGAGGAATGGGATGGGATCAATACAGGGAGAGCAGGCATCAGAAATGCCTAAATATTTTTATCATGTCTCTGGGTGAAGTCCTCTGTTTATGCAGCTGAACTAATTTTCTGTGTGAGCACCTGGTGATATTTTATCCGTGTGAAGGCTGCAACAACCAGTGAATTTCTAGATTGCAGCCTCTGTCATTGTTCTGCTTTGTTTGTGCTGTACGGGTCATGTAAGAGTAAATCCCATTAAATGGCCAGCTATAACATGTGAATGGCTGCATTATGCCGTAAGAAAGAGTAAACTCACTGCTGTCCTTTTTTTTAAACTTGGCTAGAGGCAGATAGAATTTGTGGAACATTTGTTCATTATTTTTGGCATTTGTGGGATGACTGTAAGCCATCTTTCTCCGTGCTGAGATGTACCATCCTTTCCAGGTGGTCCCTTAGGTTGAAGCTGTGCTCAGCTACTGCTCTGTGGGACAGATCCCAAGCCCACACCACATGAGCTCATAGTTTGGCACATCATCTTGCTGGCTGAAGTAGAAGCACACACTTGTGTGTGGCTTGTAGATAAATAAATCTGATCCTGCTGTTTTAATATTTGTGTGCCTTCAGAGGCTCTGGCTCAGCACTGCTGTCTTGCTGCTCTGATGTCAGGATACAAAATTCACTGATATTCTTCTGGTGTAGGTTCCTCTGGAGTTATGTGCTGATGTGAAGGCAAACTTTGTTTGATGGGCACAGTCTTCTAGAGTATGAGTTCTGATGTCAAGGGATGAATTTCTTTCTGATGTCCTGAGCTCAGGCAGCTCAGGATGATGAGTCACAGCTGATTTAAGGTCTCCACACTTGGTAGCATATGATACAGGATTCTAAGGAGAGCTGGTTTTGTGTTTTGGAAGGCTAGTGGAATGTGGTTTCCTCTGTTTAGTTTTATGTAGAGATCCCAGTAGGTGGTAGGATAAAATTCAGCAGGCTGAGGTCCAGAGAGAGATTACAGTATCTGCAGGTTCCATACTCTAGTTTCCAAGGTTTATGCCTCAATACAGGACTCTGCAAAGTCTCTTAAGCTCAAAAGCTGTCTGGGGCTGTATGAAGAAGCTGGCAGCCGTGAGGTCTCAGAACACTACTTTGTTGATGCCAGGACACACACCTTTTGTTTCACAAGCTTGTATTGAGAGGCAAGCAGATGTGGAACTCGAGTTTATCCTCTTCTGAATGAATATCCAGGCTTCCCTGAAGTTTCTACATGTATTTTGAGTAGATGAGTTGTTTTGAATGACTGACCTTCTTGATGATGAAGACCCTCACCTTTTAACTGACTGCTGTGATGTCAGGAATTTTGGCTCTGGTTTGCTCTATGTACTCGAAAAGCCAGGCTTCTGTTACACTTGAGTCCATGAGTTCTTGGGCTGATAGGGTTTAAACTCACCAGACTTCCAGGAAGAAACAAAAGTAAGTCATCGGTGAGTCTGCTGCTTGTCTGTCATATCTACTCAAGGATTAGTATTTCAGGTACTGATGTAGTACTGTTTGTTCTGCTTTTGTGGTGTAGTAACTGCAGATGTGCTTTATCATCTGTTACTGACGTAGCACTTCAGACATACTGGACAAGGCCATGGCATATTCTGAGATTTATGGTTTGGCCTCTTCACGCTTCTCATGTGATGTCAGGGCATAAGCAGGGTGTGCTTTTGGCTCATGTGGTCACCATTCTTATTACTTTTAATAGTTCATCACTCTCTTATAAGTCAGGCCAGTGCTTGTGTTCAATCAGTGTTTCAGCAGACCATTTTGAGACAGACCTCATTCATCTAAGATTAATTCATTTCCTAATTAAACGGCTCCTCGAATCTTAAATATTTGTTTATTGTCCTGAATTTCTGTGTAGTATTATAGCAGTATAATACCTGTTAAATATGATCTGAGTTTTCCTGCCCTGGTTGCAAAGTATTCTATTTTCTCCACTTGATCTTGGATTTATTCCTGGAAATACTGCTATTCTCCTTGCATTGCACAGAGCATGCAGAGCTAGCAGAAAAATTGCTACATCATCCTGCTCTGCCATCTCAGTTCTGGTCTGCTGGACCAAAACCAGTGTTGAAACATTTGAATCAGAACGAGTTTTTGATTCATAGGGACCCTACAGTTCTGAATCCCTACGATACAGTTAAAGAAAGACAAAAGGTGAAACATGGATCATATCAGTACAGTCCTAGAGAAGGGTGTCTTCTCTAGGAAGCTGAAGATTACTGTAGGCAACTACAGATTCCACAAAGCATTAACAAGGATTTAAAATTATTAGATCTAATGACCCATGTAGAATATAGTGAATTTGTCAAGGTAAATGTAGCAGTCATATACAGCAGCAGTCGTGGTTTGAATTTTAAACCTATTTTGCCTTTCATGGAGATTTATTGTTTAAAAAATCAATTCAGACTGAGCTGCAAAAACATGCTAGAAAATGCAGAGGGATGTAATACTCATTTAATGTAGGTTTGAAGTTTTTAATTGTGCATTTTTGAGATCCTGGAGTGCTGATTCTGCTTGAATTTTCTCCATCATTAGCCCTATTTCTAAATGCTTAGTTGTCATGATTCTTTATGGCTGGAGCTGTTAATAATGATCTTACATTTAGGCAGACTGAGTCTCAGAAGCATTTTAGTCCTTTGCCACTGGGCGTCAGGATTTCCTAACATATGCAGCTTCCCATTACAGACTGGCTGGAAGCCTGTGCTTATTCTTTACTGTGAAGGGAAACACCATTCTTTAACATCAAAGCCTTTGTATATTAGGAAAATTCTTTGGTTAAAAGGCATCAACACTAAAAGTTACTGTCATTTGAAATGTTAAGCCAGGTTTAATCTTTCCTGCAGGTGGCCAGGGAATTCTAAGCACAATTATTTTTGTTTGCTTGAGGGTCTGTTTGTATCTCATGGTAATTACAGTGTCCTACAAAACCTGTTTCTGGAAAAGATACACGTTTTCTGTGTGGGTGAGGAAGCAAAAGAGACTAGTCGGAGACTAGTCAAAAGAGACTAGAGACTTCCTTTGCCTTGACTTCTGGTTAGTCTGGTGCACAGCAGCAAGAGAGGTTCCTCTCACCTGATAGGTAGCACTCTTATAATATGTGCTTTTAGGTGAAATACAATGCAACCTTAGCAGTAAGAATCCTTTTATAGTTAAGTTTTAGGAGGGGGTTTTCTGTCAACTGACATACAGAGGCAAATATATGATACTGAGAAGCCCAGTGAAGGAGGACTTTTTTTATTTTGTGTATTACATGGCTGGTGATTGGTCTTGGGTCTAAAGATGCAAAAGTCTAAACAATCCCTGTGCAAACACCTACAAATGACAGAAAGGAGCAAGTGACCCTGGAAACAGAGACCTTATCACTGAATGAAAATACCTTGAGTCAGATTCCTTACAGACAATGGAAAATCTACCACTATGTGGGCAATTATAGTTTTCTACTTGAGAGCTTCAAGTGGAGTACTTAAAGCAGACTTTTGAAACCACAAAGTACCCAAGTCTGTGCAGGTGTTCATGGAGCCCTGACCAATTATGTTAGAGGACCTACACAACACAGAACTGTGAGAAAGGCTGAAAATGCAAATGATTGTGGCTCATGCTTTTAGCAGGGCAATATCCTCTTGTACTCTTGATGGAGAAAAATTTTGAGCAAAGGTCCTTATTTCTTAACATTCTTTGCATGGTCTCATGAAAACCCAACAGAACAAACTGTTTCCTCAAATAGTTTTAAGGAGAAGGTGTTGAAGCGAGTCAGCTACAGAAATTAATATAATTTCGGTGGATGGCCTTTGGCAATTATTTCTTCTTCTAAGCAAATCAGAAGGTTCTTTCAGATGATATAAGCTTTATGTTTTGTGATGGCTAATTCAGCTCTCTTTCTCCTTTCTCTTACAGGCATTTTTCTAGTTTTAGTTTTATCTTTCTTTATATGCTCAGCTGACAATTGTTAATAACTTAATTTCAAAAACTGGGGCCATAGTCCTTTCTCTGACTTTGCCTAAAAATCTGATGGGAATGGGGGGCCTCAGAAAATCAGGAGAAAACAATTCTGTGTTTGTTCTGCAAATGGTTGTGCCAAACCGACCATAAACGGATCGTTATGTTAAACAGTGTTTGCAGCTATAGAATTCCAGCTATTGCCAATGAATTGTGGTTGCACTTTTTTTTACTCTATTTTAACTATTTATGTGTGTAATTCACCTTATTTCCTTTGATTTTTTTTATATTTATTTCTTTTAAATTTGCATCTAGTTAAAAATAAGAAAAAAAGCAGTTAAAATTTATCCATCAAACCTAAATCAGATCTAATTTATATTCAATAAAATAATAAAATCCAAATATTTTTTAGCTGTTGGGCCTTCAATTCAATAGGCTTAATGTACTTCCTCAGGAAAAAAATATGGTGATGGAAGGTGTTGCTGTAAAATGACTGGAAAGCCAGCAACATGACTAGGCTCCCAAACCCAAACAAAAGTAAAAATAAAAATGTGTTTCAGAGAAATTCAATGTGATTTTCACTCCCTGAAGGCTTTCATTCATTTGAAGTTGGCTCAAATTATTTTTATTTTTTCATATTATTGGGATTTGATTTTTGTCCTGTATATTTTTCTTGTAAGAGTCCAAAATTATACAGTGAAGGAAATATTCTCGAAGTCTCAAGAAGACTGGTTATTTTTTGGCCTGGTTTTAACCTCTCTTGTTTATCCATTAGGCAAGTGACAGGTGAATGAAAATTATTTCAAAATTCATTATTGCTGTTTTGCAAAACTGTAGAAAGTGGAAAGATTCTTCTTGCCTTTCTGTTTCTTAACAATTTTATATTCCTCTCTTGTACCTGGCAAGAAGAGGATTAACTATAGTGATGATAAGGAGAGCTTTTGAAAAACTGAATTTGGTAAGCATTTGTCTCAAAATTATCTTCCCATTTGCCAGGCAGGCTTTACAGGGATCTGCAAATCTTTTCCCTTCCCATCTAGCACAGCAGGGTGCTGGATATTGCCACAGCTGTACCTCCAAGTCTTTCTCCAATACTAAAAACTTTTTTATATTACTCTGTCCCTTGAACTCTTCTCGATGTTGATCACTCTAAAAATATATGCTTTCTTTCAAAGAGTGTAATGGGCTGAAAAAAGTGAATGTGTACTCTTCACTGTCTTTATCTGCCCTTAAAAATCTGTAAGTATAGATAAATAGGTTACCGTTAAAGTTGTTCTTGGAACAGAGCATAGGAGGACTAAAAACGAAATCAAAGTACCAGGTTTGTTTTTTGGTTGGTTGGTGGGTTGGTTGGTTGGGTTTTTAAGCTTTCAAATTACATTTGGCTCTTGATGAAACAGTTAAATAGAGTGCCTTTAGAATTAATGTTCCCTTTCTTTTCTTCAAAGGAAATTAACCATTAATCCTGGTGAATGTCTTGTATAAATACTTTAAGATTGACAGTTAGAATTTATTTAGGAGTCAAATGAGTTTTTATCCTCCATTAACTTTACAGATTGCTAGAATGAAAATCATTCGTTCCACTGTCTCTTTTTCTATACATGGCTTCTATCCAGCAGGTTACTTGATTTACATGTTTAAAACTGTGTGTCAACCCAAGACTATATCTATACAAGTTGGGAAGACTTGCCTTTAAGAAGGCTTAGCAGCTGAGTCCAGCAGAGTATCAGGTCCAGAGTACTTACCTAAGTGAGCAGCACATCTGTTGGGGGTGTGGCAGACTTGGGTGAAAAAGTCTGCAAATTTTTAACCTGCAGCTAACAAAATCAAGGAATGGACCCAGAAATTTCCTATCCAACATGTCTCTCTCTCCCTCTTTTCTTTTCCTGTGGGGCTGGTAGGCTTGTTTGCTTATTTTCCCTTGGAAAGCAAGGGGTGTCTGACAAGGAAAGCTGTAAATTCCTCCACACTATGGCTGAGTACAAGGCCACCCACTGGACGCCTTCCTAACTCCTAACTGAGGCCGTACTGCACTGCACTGTGTAGCAGCATGTAATGAAGGACTTGCCTGTCCTGCAAACACTCCTACACCTTCTGCACACACCCATGGCTTTTCAGCTGTTCAGTGACAGCTCCAAGCTTCACTGACAGCAGCAGTGTTATCCATGTAATCCAAGGTGTGGGGAGCTGTGTTGTGTGACCCCAGAAGTCAGGCTACACTGATGAGGTTTAGGCACTGTTCCACCTGGTTGTGGTCACAGACTTTCCCACAACTTGCTGAAATAGGTGGCAAATCCCAGATAAGTATTTCAATTGTTTTCAGCAAATTTTAGCTGAAATCCAGAGTGAGTCAGCTGTTATTTATTGTGTCAGATTGGAAATTAGTATCTTAATAACAAGTAGATGGCCCAAACAAAAGGAAAGTGAGAAAAATACAGCAATGAAAAGTATAGAGTATCTAATGTGAATGCACTAAAACTAGCAGGGAGCTCTGGACACATTACTCTTTTTTCATTTTTTGAATATCTACACAATACTTTTTTGCAGTCCATTGGACATTATATTGAAAGGACTTGCTCCATTTTCAAGCTGATTGCATTATTTGCCTAATTATACTGCCACATCTGTTTGGATACTGAGACCTATAAATTAGAAGAGTCTAAACTGTGGGTAATTACAGACATCTCAATGTTTGGCTTTCCAAGTTCTGTGGGCCACAGGTGTGCCTGAGAACAGCACTCAGAGCTGCAGCCGACAGAAATCCACGGTAAGAAAAACATTTCTCCAAAGACACGCTGGAACTGAAAACCAGATTTCCATTCATTCAGACTGGAAATATCTTTTAAAATGAGATAAAAAATACCAAAGTAGGTGTTACAGAGGGCAGACAGAATTGCTAGCATAGGTATACTGCTCATTTAACACATTTAGTACTGTAGTTGTGAAACATTGATCAAACCACAATACCAGGGGATTAGAAATTATGGAATGCTACTAATTGCAGTCCTGTTTCATTTCTTCTGCTTATTTTTCCTGAGCAAGCGGTACAGACAGAGCTAGGTCCTGTTTTGCAAAATAATGCATTAGGATCCATATATATGTTCAGGATCTGTACCATACTGCTGTTAAAGCCAAATAAACAAACAAACAAAAAAAGCCACTTCTACGAGATACAAAATTCCTCAGCATAATTGTGGTGGTGGTTTGTAGGGTTTGATAGGGATTTTTGGTTTTTATTTGTTCTGATTGGCTGTTTTGGCATTGGTTTGTGGTTTTTTTGGGTTTTTGGGGTTTTTTTTTTTTTTTGTTGGTTTTTTATTTGTTTTTGTAGGTTTTGTGGTTTTTCAGTAGAAACAAGTATTTTTTTAATGAAATATAAGATACAATGAAAATACAGCTGTAGCACTTTAGATTAGCAGAGCACACAGTTAATGAATTTGGATTTGGTGATGCAGGAAACTATACAGAAATTATGTCTGCTAATATAGAATTAAGTACTGAATAAGAAAGGAACCGACACAGCCCAGGACAAAATATACCTTACTCCCACAAAGACCTGTGAAGATGCTAATTCATTCAGCTGTCCTTTATTATCTTTTTGGTAAATTTCAAAAAGCAGCACATTATCCTATCTGACAGCAGATTCCCAAGTGGTCTAAGGTCAGAAGGAGTTAGATGTAAAAATCTTAGCAATATATTTTATAACATATTGAATTAACCAACTTGGTTCCACTTTTAATTTTCCTTAAATTAATTTCTACTCCATTATTTGAAATAAAATAAAATATTAAAAAAAAAAAAGAAAAAAGAAAATAACCTGTCCTGGTGTTTGAAAAGCTAGGCTTTTTACTTCTAGGACACTTAGGACTTTTAAACAGAGATGTAATGGCTTGTATGTTCAAAGACTATCATAAATCTGTCACAGAGAGGGAGAGACATAAGAAACATTGGAAATTGTTTTTTGGCTCTCTCCTTTGCAGAATTGCTGTAATTTTCTGAAGAGCTATCCCTGGGTAATTCATTTGTCAGCATGAGAGTTTTATTGTTTTTTAATATATTGGTTTATTCTTATAAGAGACGGAAGAAAGCCATCTGGAGTACTTGTTTGTTGGCTGACAGTGCTGGTTGCAGCCCTACAGTTCTGTACAGACAAGGAGTTGCAGAGAAAGTCCAAATGGCTTGTTTGATCCTCATTTTTATGCTCTAGTTTTGGCTGCCCTTCTGATTGCCCATGAGAAAGATGGCCACAACATCACTATACTGTTTAAGACCATCTCATTTTGTTTATAGAGCTCTTCAAACAGAAGGTCACTGTAGGTGTCTGCTCCAGCTGTTGCTCTGTTCTTTCCCACTCACTGCATTTACACTCACAATGTCCTTTTATTTATAGTTTCACCATTCGCCCAGCCTGGGACCATGACGGGGTCATTTGCCACTAGAGTTGCTTTTATAGGTTGAAGGTTCAAAGGATGTTTTGTCCCTTTCATACACAGAACCGCAGCTTAGAAAGAGGGCAAGAAAAAGGGCAGTCCTTCCTCCTTTCTTCTGTCATGGAGACAGATGTCCTCTAAAACTGCACACAAGATGCAGCCCACTTTTCAGATCTGCAGTCAGTGTGCTTGCCGTTTCCTCAAACTTCATTACTTGAATGAAGATGGTCAAAACTTGCAGTTTGCAAAGAGCTTTGAGGGGCAAAGAGGAACAACTGGAAGGGAGCAACTTTATATCTTCCTCCACTCCAACAGAGGTTCTGATTTGTTGCAAATTGGCCTGCTGGACCCAAAGCCAGCTTTCTGAATCCTTGCTCTCCCACAGGAGCTGGCACAAGGCTTTTCTTAGTGAATAAGCAGCAATGGATGAGACAAAATTTCTGGGTAATGATTCAGCAAGTCTTACTACTATTCCAGGCAATGCTCTCTGTCTTCTGTATGATAAAATCAGAATACAAACCAGCAAGAGATATTTTGCCAAAAACCATGTGCACTTTTTGCCATGAGTGTGCACCTGAATTCCTGCCACTTGCAGACAGCCTGCAATCTGATAGTCTATTGACATTTCCAAGCTTTGCCTGTCACTTTTTCAGCAAACTTCATCTGGATTTCAGGTTGCCCATAAAAGTTGAAAGTGGGTTTAGTAGCAAAATTTACAATGTGAACATCTAGTTAGAGGAGACCTTATTGGGCCCTTTTAAAGGAGGGCCTTGCCTTTAAATATGAGTAAATAAGAGTTTCTACTTCTTTTCCTCATGAAACTGCATTGAAAATATGAACAGCAATAAATCAACTGCTGAAAAAAATGGCAATGTACAGCTGGGCTCCCCTCCTGCATAGAAATGACATTGGAAAAATCACACACATTTCCCTTTCCCTTCTAATTGACCTTGTAAAATTTAAGTTACCGCCTCACTGAAATACCTTTTATTGCTGCAAAATCCCAAGAAAGATTCAGACTATGAGAGTGCAAGTGTTAAAATAGGCAAGGAGTTAAAAAAAAATAATGCAGAAAATGCTGCATTCCATCCATCCTTGTTTACTCCTCCTCTTGTGTAAAAAGATAAGTTCCACTTGCTTATCTTATCCATCAAAATTCTTTCAAACTGTTCTGCAAAGATGTGCTTGTGTAGGGGATCTGGCATCCACATTCATTTTTCTAATGTATGCTGACAGTGTTCATCTATAAATATTATGATAACAGGGGGAAGAAGTCCTGTTTCTTATTTCTGAATTTGTTTTGTTTTACCTTACTGAAGGACTAAAGGTCTTCTTACAAGACCTAATGTTGTTTAGGTCTTGTAAGAAAAATTCCATTGATTTCCATTGAGTGAATTCTTCCTATATTTGCCAGGCCATTTTCCTGAAAACAGCTGGGTAGAGTGAGAGTTTTATCCTTGTGTTGTATTATTTTTTGGAGTAAGAAAGTTGAAACAATTGCTTGATGTACGATGGACTTTACTTAGCAAGACATCTGGTTGTTTCTCTTATTACAGCTCTCCCTCTTTCTCAGTAGATGTGAACAGGTTTTCTTGGCTGGTTGATCTTTGGTTTTGGGTTTTTCTTTAGTTACTGGAGCTGGCCACAGATCAAAAAGTGAAGGTTATACAAGCTGATTTCACTAAAAATGCAGTGTACAAAAACGTTGAAAAAGATCTGAAGGACTTGTATATTGGTATTCTGGGTCAGTCATTAAGGTCTGTTAATTGACAAGTATTTTATGGCTGTAGTGTATTTAACAGACCATTGTATAAATTATGTGTTGTAACAACTTGTTAGCCAATGCTTAAAACCAAGTATACATAATGAGCCTGTGGCTCATTATCTGGTATGACTCATGAAGGAACAGTGAAAAGATGGGGTTTTGGAAGGTTTTTTTTTTTATTTTTAAAGAAAGTCATCCTTTTAATAGTGAAAGAAGTGAAACAACAGCAATAATACAGAAACAGCTTTAGCAACAGTCTATTTTTCTGTTCCTCAGAGACAGTCCTCATCAGTATCAGTGACTTCAGTGAAAACAAAACTTGATGCTGAATAGTGTTTCTCTTCACATGCAGCTCACAATCTTCTGGGTCTTGAAGAGAAGCACTTTGTTTAAGTAGATGAATAATGAACTTTGTCCTGATTTGATTCTTAACATTGAATTTTCCCTGACTAGTTAGCAATGTTGGAATGATTCATAATCCTCTTCCATGCTATTTCCTTAATGGACCAAACATAGAAGAATTAGGATTATTCTGTAGATTTCATCTTCTAATATAACAATGAGGAATGGTAATTCATTGAACAAGGCACAGATTTTGCCCCTGCTACAATCAAGTATTAACTGTTCAATTGGGCTGGAAAGGAACTGGGCCTGAAGAAGCATGTTTTGATTTGGGTTTAATGCTTGGAGGAGCTTGAAAGAGAAGAAGAATGGTAGTTTTCAGCTAAACTGCAGCCAGCATCCAGTGGTAGAGGGGAGAGTACAGCTGACCTGGTTGTGACAGGGATTAGCAGACCCCCTGACTCCCTGTAGTGTAATGGGGTCCAGTCCATTCACAGCTGCAGCTGAAAATATTGGGTACTTGTTAGTGTTATTAAAACTTAGTTTCTTGGGGTCTTTGCTTAAGTATGTGGACATAAACAAACAAACCAACCAAATTAAAAGAAAAAAAAGAAAAAGAAAAAAAAAAAGAAAAAGGATACCTCATTTAAGTGTTTACTTTGTGGGGGAATTAATTTACAGTGGTTCAACTGAGTGACAGGATTAAGGATGTGATCAAGTTCTTCATTGCCTTATTGTTATTTACCTCTATATCATTTGCAATGAAAAGGCCAGAATTTCTAATTGTGTATCTTCCTAGCACCTCTCTCAGGATTCATTCAGTTTTTATGTCATCTTCCAAATCAGAGAATCTCAGGCAGGCTGCTTCCATCAAACTCTCACTTAAGGATGAATATACTGTTTCGTTGCTTCCTGCTGGACCTTGTCAAGTGCAATATTATTTCTGTTCCAGGTAAGTATGTGACACCTTCCCATCTGTTCTGGGGCTGTAATGTATTTCACCAGAAAAAAATCAGTCCCATGTTAGGTGGACCAACTAGCTTTTCTGTGTATTATCATTTCATTCGTCAGCAGACAGTGATTTTCAGCAGGAATGTCAGTGTTAATTTAAGGAACCCACCTGTTTCTATTACCTGTGAAATATTTTGATCAGAACTGACTGGAAAATTTTTAACACAATTTCTCAGTTGAAACACATCCTTGCACTACAGCTGAAACAGCTAAAACATTTCACAAAGCATTTTTGTTTTGGTATGCAGGGAGATTTGCTTCAGAATTAAAGTTTTCAAGACAGGTAAATCTGCAGTTTGAATTTTAGCACAGTACTTGTGGTTTTTGTCACAATTCTCATTTGCCAACATGTTTTTGTATCAATGCAGGACAGAAACTCCAGGAACTGTCTCCTAATTCTGTATTGTTACCCATTGGTGCCAGTTTTGGTTGGTTCCTGCCCCTCCAAGAACATTTAGTATTTTATGCTTTTCAGCTCTGATTAAGATTTGTATTGCTCTGCTGTTTGCAAGCAGCATGTTAACATGAACATGAGCAGAAGATCTCAACCTTGGCTTTCATGCCTTTCAGGTCTTTCTAAAAATGACATGAAAATTAACACCAGATGTTTGTCCTTCTCTGGCTTTCAAAATTTACTTCCCAAATTTGTACTGCTGCTAATGACTTAAGAAAATAAATCATGTAATACCAATCAATAGAAGCAAATTCTGTAAGTACCTTTGTGACATTTGTGCTCCTAGGATATATTCTATTTCTGTGTCAAAAGAACAGAAATATCTGCAGTATCTGAATGCTATAGATTTATACCGTTCTGTACCCTCTCGGTCTGGATAGAGAGAAGGTTCTTCTTTTTGTCATTTCCCACTTTACATATATCTCAGAATCAAACTCTTTTGTTTTTGCAGTGCCTGGGCATTGCTTTCCCCACTGCTGCACCACATCCTTTTCAGTGTTTCATGAATATTCACTTTCCTCCAAATTACAGAGAAGAAAGCATTCTTCTAACCAGCATTCTCATGGTTAGGTCCAAATAATCTTTAAATCTTTTTGGATTTTCCTTTTCCCTCTCTGTCTGGATTCCTGCTAAGATCCTGTTCGCCATTTCTCGCAGTATAATGCCTGAGGTCCAGGTATCCTGGCTCCCACTGTTTATTTGGAAATTGCTCTTAATCCAAGCTGATGTGACTGACCTGTCTTGTCAGACTTTGTCAACCCCACACTGTTCCTACTATCCTCTTTTGAGCACAATGACTGCTGGAAAAAAAATAAAGTCAGGAAATAACAAGTATTCTGTCAAACTGTGCCATTAATTTGCATTACTTTTCACTGCTGCGCTTTACAAGTTAGGTCACACTGCTTACACAATTCATAGTGCAAGTATGACTTCTTCTTGGTACTAAGGCTTACTATCAATAATACCCTTCAAAAGCACAAAGAAATGCTGATTTCTTACCTGAAGAAACACATCTAATTTCACTTTAAAATCAGATTCATTATTAAGTCTATTGCTAAAATAAGAATGAAAAAAATAATAAAATAATTAGCACCAAAAAAGATCCTAAAGCTCTTTCTGGATGCAGAAAAAAATGATATATTTTCCTGATTTTCTGCAATTTCTGATCTAGCTACAGACAGAAGTAAAAACTCAAAAAGAATATGGAGCTGACTTTCTCCTTGCTGTTATGATTCCATGTTGCAGAATGATGAAGTTCAGAAACTGTTGAAAAGCTTTGGATAAACATAATACTCTCACTGCTTGGAAGGCTAACCTTTGGAATTTTTTGACAACTCAGATGATTTTCATGCCACAAGCATTACTAAAATATTTTGCAAAATGTTGAATGTGCCATATTTTAGCTATTTGAGCTGTATATATATGGCTTGATCAAGTGAAAAAACTTGTTAATGAATGAGTCCAAAAATGCTATCAGGAAGATGGGGAATGGAAAAAAAATTCTTAAAATACTTGCCTCATAGTTGACAAAAATTATTTTGAAACAAATGCAAATAAAGTATTTTTTCTATAACTTTGAACTTTGTTAAGCTTCTACCTTCAATGCCTTTAGTGGTAGTTAGGCTTTTTAATTAAATTCTGGGCTTCACAGTCTATCAATCAGTAAGATATATTCTTCTTCTGTTAGTGCTGTATGATTATATACATATAAGAACTCCCACAAATTGTCAGTCAATTGTAGAACACAGCAGAAAACAAAATATGTATCTGTTCCCAGTTACAAATGTGTGGCAGAAATAGAATAGGACGTGATGGGCCTAATCAAGCAAGAAACAGCATTTGAATATATTATCTATTTTTCTAAGAGTGGTAGTTTAGCTTTTCAAAGTTTGGAAATACCCATATAACTAATCAGAGACATTAATTCATCTCTGCAATTAAGGATCTCTGTCCTCTTTTTAATACTTCGTGTATTTTGGGGTCCCTAAACTAGAAGTTAGGCTCTTTGGATGGATTTTCTAGAAAACATAGTTAAATACTGCATTTTTGAGGCCAGTACATGCTTTTAGTTTTGGCAAAAAATATATTTCTTATTGCTTATATTTAATTTTGGGGTTTTTTTTGTTTTTCCTCATCATTGTTAAATGTGCTGGGTTTTAGTGATGTGTACAGGGAGTTGTGAATGGGGAAGCTAAACCAGCAGATCCCTGAAGCAGGAAAAAGAATGTATTGAGCAAAGGGGATCTGTCAATTACTTAGGAGAATAAAAACTTTCCTCTGATGACAGACTTTTTTTTTTGTACATACAACTGCATGTACAATGCTCCCATAGTTCTGATTGCGGCAGGCATTTAATTTTCACTTATGACATTATTCATGCCAGGTTTATACCAAATTAAACTGTAAAAAGGGGGTCTTTTGAAGATACACTTGACAGTATAATAGGAGACCTATGCCTTCTGGGGAAAAAAATGTTTTCTGCTCATGCAGCCTTTTACTATAATCCTGTAAAGTGTAACTGTTTAAATTAAATTTCAGTCAGAAAGTTCTAATTCTGAATCTGTCCTCTGGTTTGAGTGCTTTCCCTTGTCCATTATATATCATGTACTCAGTTGCTAAGGTAAATCTTTCACATTGCTTTATGAAGAAATCCCCATTAAGTGTTTATCAAAGCATTGTAACAGTGTAACAAATGATCAGTATATAAATAGCATTGCTCCATTGAAGTAATGAAGTAATGTAAATTGGCACTACCTGACAACCAAGAATCAGTGAAACTATGTAAATTAAATCAGCTGAGGGTATCTCTGATCCTTGGAATGATTTTGCCTGTGATTAAATTGTATTATACCAGTGCTCACAATTTGTCTTCAGTCTGGGAAGTGATGTATTTCATTATGCTCATTTATCCAGTTTACTTAAAACTGGAGATGCACAAAAGTGCTAGGTTTTGCTTATGGAACCAAGAATAAAATTTCTGGTAGGTGACTGGTGAGTTGCCTAACTTTGTAGATTTCACCTTGAATTTTTGCTCTGAATTTGAATCCATGAACTTGCAAAAGTGTAGAATGATTTTGAGTAAAACTCCAAAAGTAACTTGATCAGCTCAGGTTTCCTTCAAATGAAAAAATTCTAATGATATTTTCTTGATTGTAGCTAAAGTTTAGATTGCAGGAAAAAAAAGAGCTATTATTGGTAAGAAAGTATAGTTTTCTATTTACTTTTTCTCCTTTTATATAAATCCCTCATTGCTCAAAATTTGAACTTCATTCAAACCAGAAAATTTTAGATCCTTAAAAAATGTTCGCCTAACATTTTTTCCAAGTGATATGGTACATTAGTATGATTATGTTGTCTCCTTGTCTTTTTTCATTCTCAGATATCTTTTAACTTTGGGGGTTCTTTTGTTTTGGCTTGGTTTTTGTTTTCGTTAGTTTGTTTGTAACTTTTTTTTTAAATGCCCTGGAGGGAAATTATTTTACTTGTCATCATTATATCATGAATGTATTGGTGTTACAATTTTAAGACTATCAGGAGATTGGTTCAAAAAACAGTCTTTTTTTTTTTTTACTAGGACTTTTTATATTTTTCATTACAGAGGAACAATTCAACATCATCAAGTTTCTGACTGTTTCTCAAAGATCTAATTCCTAAAATCTCTCTTGAAAGAAACTCAACATTTGCATAAAGTTAGTATGTGCATACTCTTCATGGTGTGGAGAAAAACTTATATAAATCTAAAAGATTGAAGCTAAAACTTTCCTCTAAATTCAGAAATACTTGACTTTGTAACATTTGTCTGTCGGTTGTGCTACTAGGTAAATAATGAAGGCACAAGTTTCATTTTCCTCCACTTTTCAGTGCAAAAGAAACAACAAGTGCAAGTGTCTGACTGGCATGGTAGGGATCATCCAGAGCACAGAGCCACATGAAACAATAGCTAGAATAAGTGGGACTTGGGAGTGTATATCTCTTCTTTTTCATAAAACTGTCAAAGCTTCCATGCAGTAATACTTGTTGCATGTCCAGCTCAGGACAGTGCCAGGTTCCATCTTTTCTGGTGCAGAGAAAGAGTCAGCCTCACCTGGGTGCACCAGCAGGAACTGTATCTGGAAAACTTCATTTCTGTGTTTTCCACCGCTGCCGTGGGCCTTAGATTGTACAATGTTACCTAGCTTGTGCTAGGGACATCTTCACACTTATTTCTGAACGTAGTGAAAGCACTGAGTTTTCTATGCTAATGGTTTGTTTGGTTTGGTTTGGTTATATTCTATCTAGGCTTTTATAAGCACTTCTACAATCACTACAAGGACAGCATAAAGCAAAGGTAATTATCATACAGGTGTTTCTGTATCTTGCCATATTAGCCTTCATTTTAGCAAATTCTTCAAGAATATTTGAGATGTCTAAATCTGTATTTAAAATCTAAATCTGTGTAGCTGTCCTCAGTCAACTGCTGGGTGACTCTGTCTCCCCTCTATATGCAGCTTTTTTATTTTCAAATTATTTCACCATAGTACTATCACTGATTCCATACAGTGCCCTAATCCATTGTAAATATCAGTTTAAATATGTCAGATGCTATGGGATTCTGCAGAGTGCCTTATGTAAGTATTAGATGGCATTACACTCTTATTTTTTTCTTTTTAATTTTAGATAGCGATTCCTTATGGTGTTTCTGCTCCAATGACAGTGTACCAAAACCTGGGTGTTATTACAAAGACAGCAGAAGAGTTTGTTAGTGAGTCACTGAGGTATGTCACCTTTGGAGATGAGATTTTTGGATGTTTCACCCATCAAATTTTGATTGAATTTGGTCCTATGTAAATGTCTTCCAAAGACTCCAGTCACGTCTGTTCTTTCCACATTTTCATGGACCTTGGACATAAATGAGAAAGAGTCAATGGGTTGTTAAGGGTAATATGGCACCAGTAAAATACGAAGAGAGGAATACACAAGAGAAGTGTAGTGGTAACAGCACAGTATGGTTCTCTCTGCTTATGAGCCTTGAGCTGAGCTCAGTTTCATGTCTGGTTAGTCTTTATCCTCTCTCCAGCTGCCTGTATTCATGACCTTGCTAAGGAATTTTCCAAGACCTCTACTCCTTCAGAAAAATTGTCCAGCAATTTCAAAAGTTATTAGTTGGGGAGAGGAAGGACATAAAACCTTAGAATGTACTATCACAAAGACATCATTTCCTTGGATACCATGCTAACAAAATAGAGTAAATATTTAGACACAACAGCTGTTAATGATGAGCATTAAATGCAAGTATAAGAAAGGCAAAGGATTTGCTGAAAGCAGAGGAATTACACATTTTCCTCTAAGAGAAATGTAGTTGCTGAAAACCTGAAGTAAAAGCTTTTGTGGGCCTTATGTAGGCTCTAAGAAATTTATATTACCATTTTAACATAATCATAAATTATGCTTATTTGATATTTATTAATAAAACAATAATTTGCTTTATTTCCATCTTGTTCACACTGTATTTTCATGCTTTCAGTGAGTGTTTTGTGTCTGTGGTTTCTTTGGAAAAGGAAATTCGCAAGAAGATAAAAAGAAATCTCTCAGAATGTAAAATACACCCTGGACTTTGGGAAGTCTTCAATGATAAAAAAATTATTTCTTTCCAGAGCCTGTGAACAGCTCTGCAATATCCAATATGGGATAGAAGAGGCAGCAACATAGGAAAAGGATGCACAGTAATTCTAGACTGCTGAATGAATCCAGAGGACAAGTGTTTTGACTGGATGCCTGTCAAATCAAACTGGATGCTATTAAAAGGTATTTCAAGGACAATGCAATCACCAAGCATAGTCATTGTGCGATTATGAAAGGAAAGTCCTGCCTAATTAATTTGACACCCATCTAGAATAGAGTTACTTGCCTAGTGGATGAAAGAAGGTGGTGGGTAAGGCTTTTCTTTCTTTTTAGTAATATTTAGTAAGATTTTGGTAAGATTTTTGGTGCTGTCTCTCAAAGTGTTCTTCTGGACAAGCTGTTGTGATGGTCAGGTTCACAGTGTGCTGGATGAAGAACTGGCTGAATGTCAGAACTTCAGGGGGTTTAGTGTGTGGGGCTGCATCTGCCCAGTGAGCAATCACCAGTGGTGTTCCTCAGGAATTCACTGTGGGACCAGTTCTGGTCAACAAGTTTATAAATTATCTGGATGCAGGACTTGAAGGGCCATTTGCTGACAACTCTGAACTAGGAGATGCTACTGACTCTCTTCAGAGACAAGAGGCCTTGCAGAGGGATCTGAACGATCTGGATGCAGGACTTGAAGGGCCGTTTGCTGACAACACTGAACTAGGAGATGCTACTGACTCTCTTCAGAGACAAGAGGCCTTGCAGAGGGATCTGAAATAGACTGGAGCACTGGGTAATTATCAGTGGCATGAAATTAAGCAAGAACAAATCCAGATTCTGCCCCTGAGATGCAGTAAAGCTGGGCACAAGTAAAAGCTGGGAGAGGAGTGTGTGTAGGGCAGCCCTGCAAAAGGGATCTGGGGGTGCTGGTCAGAGCAGCTCAGGGTGAGCCAGCAGTGTGTGCCCGGGCAGCCAGGAGGGCAAACCCATCCCGGGGTGCATCAGACACAGCATCACCAGCTGTGATTGGGATCATCCTGCTGCATTCAGCCCTGCTGCGGCCTCACCCTGAGTCTGTGTGCAGCGCTGGGCCCCACACTCTGAGAAGGGTGGGCAGGTCCTGGAATGGGGCAGAGGAGGACAGCAGAGCTGGTGGGAGGGCTGGAAGGCACATCCTGTGAGGAGCGGCTGAGGGCTCTGGGTTTGTCTGGTTTGGAGAGAAGGAGGCTCAGGGGTGACCTCACTGCTCTGCACAGCTCCCTGGGGAGCAGACCTGGAGAGGGAGTGCTGGTCTCTTCTCTCTGCTCTGGACATTAGGAAGCACCTCCCTACTGAGAGAATGGTGAAACACTGTCACAGGCTTCCTAGAAAGGTGGTTGATGTCCCTTGGCTGTCAGTACATCTGGACAGTGCCATTCACATTGGGTTTTTACTGCTAGCTGGCCCTGAAGTGGTCGGGGAGCTAAACTACATGATCTCTTAAATTCTTTCCAACTATTTTATCCTGGGCTAGGCTTGTTTCTGCTATTTAATCAGAGTAATTTCTGTTCATTAAAAATCAGTAATTTTCAAGTGTCTTTTAATTTTCATGTTTAACTTCTGCATTTCAAAAAGTATTTGTAAAACACTTGTATGAAAATAGCAAGGACTCTATTAATAAATAAGAATTTTTTTGCCCAATGTGAGGGACAGTCTCTGTAATCTTTGCCACATACATGAAAGAGACATCACAAAATGTGTCCTGCTGGCTCCAGAAATTCCAGTCTGCTATATTGAAGTTAATGACATCTACAGACAGCCCATCATAGACATACATTATAGCACCATTTAGGTCCCAGCTTTTTGCACTTCTCCTATACTAGTTATAAATCTCAAAAAAAAAACAACGAACAATTGAGCTGCAATAGCTGAACTGAAATAGTGAAAATTGCAATACATAAAATGATATGTATCTTTCCTGCAGTATAATCAGATTTGGCCGAGATCAGCAAACAGTTGTAAAAAAATCACTTTACTCACATGGGCTCCTATATGTTGGATGTCAGCGTACCATTGAATTCAATGAAAGTGATGATACACTTATGTTCTTTCATGTCAGAATTGGAAATAAAACTATTACTTTAATATTATCACCCGATGTAGAAAACATCTGGAAATAAGAATGAGACATCTATGCTGGACATTTCAGCATTGCTGGTCTGAAAAGCAAGGAATAGAAACAGTTTGTTCATCACTCCATAAAGACTGTGTTTTCAAGTGATTAAACTGTATCCTTCAAAGTGTTATATTTGTGCAGCTGTGCAGCAAATAAGTACAGCATACAAGATATGTTACATATTGCATGTACACCAAAACCTGTTGAAGTTCCTCGGGGAAGTGTACATTGAATGTGTGTGGAATGTAGGTTTTGTGTTTGTCATTAGTAAAAGTGCCTCTTTCTGTGCAGAAGTATGTGCTCAGTCAATACATCCTCAGATCCAGCATGGATGCAGTACATGTGTCTTTCCCAGTTCATCCGCTCCAAGCACTTTCTGAGGCCTTGTCCCCAGGCAGCTCTCTGCGTGTTTGATTTGCATGTGTTGGTGGTCCCTGCAGGGTGAAGCAACTCCTACGGAGCAGTGGCTGCTCCTGCTCTGCTTGAGTCACTGGGGATGTCACAGGGATTCAGTCACTGCAGCAGCAAACCTGAGGACTCCCTTGCCTGCAGCTTGTCATGATCACAACAATACAGCTACAAATTCCTTTATTTTCTCTCTTTCACACCATTTTTTAACTCTTGTTAAAAAATGTCCTTTCACCCTTCCTACAACGACAATTTTTTGTCACTGGAAACAAATGTTTGTCTTAAAAAAATGTTAAAAAATGTTACAGGGACCCTATTAACACCGAAGTACCATTGGTACAGACATGGCTTATTGAGTGAGAGCCTTGGTTTACAAGGTTTCCAAGGTTTGCAAGTCCTGTCATCTGTGGTAAAGGACAATTCCATGTTTCTTGTCTCACACCTCAATATACACAGCCTCAAAAAGGTTTATGGTTGTGCATTCTGTATGAGTCTTGCAGGCTGTTGAGTAGAGAGCTGAGCAATCAGCTTAGTGTCGATTTGTTTCTCCTGATGAACATAAGGATGCTGTTACTTGCTGCTCTTGCATGGTCAGTCTGTGGAGCATTGACACACAAATGGTGTGGTTCATGGGGTGTCCTGAGCAGGGCCAGGAGCTGGACTCGATAATCCTCATCAGTCCTCTGCAACTCAGCATATTCTAGGATTCTACAATTTTGTTTTTCTATTTGCACAACATTAGACTGGATCTTGCTGACTTCCAATCTTCTAACAATAAATTAGAAGTGCTCTCTCTAATAATAAATTAACCTAAGTCTGCAATAAGAGGTTTCTCTTCCTTTGATTTCTCAGAGAAGTTAGTGAGTGGATCAGCCACCAGTGTGTCTCCTCTCTTGGAGGAGAAGCAATCATACCTTCCTCTTCATTTTGTACACCATGTGTTCTCTCTGAGTGCTGAACAAACAATTCAAAAATTATATTATCTACTCTTGCTTTTGGACTTGGTTGATGGGGAAATGGAAACAGGAGGGGAAAATGGCAGTTCTTCCCACTACTTCCTACCTAGGGAGAAGATGAAGGAGCAGACCAGCAAATCAGGCCTTCTGCTTCTCCCACAGAACCCATAGCATGGGATTTCCTCTTTTGTGATAAAACATTGCTAATAACCACAAAACTGCACACTGGAGCAGTGGCTTGTCATGGAAGGATTCAGTATTGTTCCTGTTTACGGAGTGGTAGGAAGTGTGGAGAGGTGAAGCACCTGCCCCAAGCCACCTGGAGGAAGGAGGATCCCCTCAAGACAAATGCTCAGCCTCTCCTCAGCCTCAGCCTCCAAGGAGCCTGTGACTTCTAAGGAGACTCACGGCTCAGAAAGTCAAATGCCTTAAAATTAAGAAACAAAAATAATGGCTATCCACCTAGAGCCAAATTTTGCTGGGCTTGTGTTCCTTTATCCTGACTCCACCAAACCTGGGAGTTTGATGAAAAGCTGCCATCCATGCCTTAATGAAGGGTTATGCCTCCTTTTCCCAGGGTCACTGGATCAGGAAATTACAGAATGGTTTAGACTGGGAAAAAACTTCAAAGATAATCTACTCAAACACCTCTGCCATGGGCAGAGGCACCTTCAGGAAACCTAGCCTGTTTTTCTGAGCAATGATGGAACAGAAGAGAG